CGCGCAACTGCCGCGCCCTTCACCCAGAACCCCCGACGTCGTCATTTCTCACGACGTAGACCCACAAAGGTCTTTCATCCTGAGCAGTTTTTAGCGGTCCTGGGGCCCGGCGGGCGCCTCCTCCTTCTCCTACCCCTCCTCCTCCTCATCTTCCTCCTCCGCATCTTCCTCCTCCTCATCATCATCCTCCTACTCCTCAACCTCCTCCTCCTCCTCTTCCTCCTCGTGCTCCTCCGGCTCCTCCTCCACCTCCTCGTCTTCCTCCTCCTCCTCCTTCTCAACCTCCTCCTCCTCCTCCTCCTCCTCCTCCTCCTCCTCCTCCTCCTCCTACTCCACCTCTTTTTATGATGATTCGTTTTCTGGTTGTGATTAGTTGCCTTATTCATGTTAATAGTTCCATCATCACTAGTGCTGTTGCTATCATAAGTAGCAGTAGCGTAGTAGTGTAGTAGTACTAGTAGCAGTACTAGTAGTAGTACCAGTAGTAGTAGTGGTAGTAGTAGTAGTAGCAGCAGCAGTAGTAGTAGTAGTAGTCGTAGTAGTAGTAGTAGTAGTAGTAGTAGTAGTAGTAGTAGTAGTAGTAGTAGTAGTAGTAGTAGTAGTAGTAGTAGTAGTAGTGTAGTAGTAGTAGTAGTAGTAGTAGTAGTAGTAGTAGTAGTAGTAGTAGTAGTAGTATTAGTAGTAGTAGTAGTAGTAGTAGTAGTAGTAGTAGTAGTAGTAGTAGTAGTAGTAGTAGTAGTGGTAGTGATAGCCGTAGTAGTATTAGTAATAGTAGTAGTAGCAGTGGTAGTAGTAGTAGTTGTTGTTGTCGTCGTCGTGGTCGTTCGATTAGTACTAGGTGTTAGTATTAGGAGTAGAATTTCTATTACGATTATGATTACTGCCAGTATAATGATTGTTAGTAGTAGTAGTAGCTGTAGTAGTGGTACTAATAATAGTAATAGCAAGAATAGCAGTAGCAGCAGTAGTAGCAGCAGTAGTAGTAGTAATAGAATTAGTCATGTTGATGGTGTGGATGGTGTTACTATTCATAGTGCTAGGTCTACCATTACTAGTTTTGGCATTCTCATTCGTAACATGAATATCGTTGTTCGTAGTAACGTTACTATTAATATCAGTGATAGTTGTAGTACGAATGGCATTCTCATCAATATTAAAAATAATTCGATTAGAAGCATAGATGATACTGTTGCTAGTATTGCATACCTAATAAAAGCATAGTAGTGCTAAAAAGGTAGTGTCATTGATCGTATTAGTATCATCAGTATAAGTACTATTAATATTACTCGTAATAATCTAATGAGTCACATTCGCATTACTATTCGTAGTAGTATTAGTTGTTGGTGTAGTAGTAGCTACCGTAGGTGTATTAGTATGATTCGTATCCGTATGTGTCATGCTTGTTATTATTATTATTAGTGGTAGTAGTATTATTATTATTAATATTATTATTATTGTTATTATTACGAGTGTCATTACTATTATCATTGTTCATACTTGTATTATTATTCCTCCTCCTCCTCCTCCTCCGGTTCCTGCTCCTGCTCCTGCTCCTGTTCCTCCTCATAATCATCATCATCCTCCTGCTCCTCCACCTCCTCCTATTCCTCCTCCTCCTTCTCTTCCTCCTCCTCCTCATCATCCTCCTTTTAATCTTCCTCCTCCTCCTCCTCGTCCTGGCGAACACGGTCGGCGGCACTGGCCGCAAGACCTTCGCAATTTTCCTAGACTCTCCTGGCCGAGCGCGTGCTATCCGAACCACCTCAGGGGTCTGCTACTCTCTCCGCCACCAGACATGCTCGCGTCGTGGAAGAACAAAAACAACAACAACAACAACAAAAAAAAACGGAAGGTTGCTGGCCGTTTTCGGCCTCTGGGGACCCTCGCCGAGACCCGGGGACGTCAAAAAACACGTTAGGAATGAAAAACTGGACCTAGGGGAAGGGTCTAGGTTTCCGAGGACCTCGTCGTGATAAAAATATGGGCATCGCATGTCTGAGGCCGTGCTGCTACAGACCTACGACGGTCAGCCCAATGGCGCAAATACCTTGGCTGCCTGAGCTCTGGGGATGTAGAGGCCTCCCAAATGGGGTCCGAGTAGAGGTGGTCGGAAGATCGCGCCGCATCGCCGACGCATCTTCGACGCATCGTGGAGAATATCGGGCTCCACATCAAGCCGCATCGCAGATGCATCGACATGCGGCGCGATCCTTCTGCCACGCGGACCCCGTTTGGGAGGCCTAGAGTATGGAACTTCATCCCCAGAGTTCCACGGACGCATTTCTCCCACATTATCGTTCCAACTGGCTCTGGTCGCAGGGGTCCAACAGCAGACAGCTCCCCGGGCTACGTCGGCGAATGAGAAAAGCAGACAGCGTGGGCAGCAGCGGCCGAGCCGCACACCGCGCCAGGCCCAGCGCCAGAGGCACCCGTGAGCGCAGGCTCTGTCGGGAGTCGGGCGCTCGAGAAGCGCTGCCGAGCGGGGCAGCCAGCCACGTGAGGCGGCCGGGCGAGGAACTGATGCTAGAAGATTGAAAAGCGGCACAAGCACAAACTTTCGGAGAGTGCCGATCCAAGAAACCCGCTTGACCCTCCAAAAATGTATGTTCATGCCGTGTCCCGGGACCCCCGGCGTCGTGACTTTTCCACAACGTCGACACCCAGAGGTCTCGACCCCTTCCCTGGGACCAGCTCTTCTTCCCGAAACGTTTCTTGACGGTCTCGAGGCATGGCAAGGGCCCCCAAGAATCCGGAAATAGCGAAAAACCTCCCGTCGTCAGCCACACACCGTCGCAACGCGAGGGGGTCTGGGTCTTCTCCTTCTTCTTCGAGATGCTGTACACGCCCCCGGGCTCACGCGTCGAAGAGGCCCCTGACGGCCATCGCGCCTCCCTGCCGAGGCCGGGGTCCCCCGGCTCCCACGCGGGCTGCACGACGAGCACCCGGCCGGCGCCCCCCCCCTCGGGCCGCGCCGCCCCGGCTGGCTCCGCCGCGGGCCACCCAGCACCAGACGGTTCCCCAGGCTAGTGTGCCGCACCGAGAAGGCCGCCACGGGCTGCTTTGCCGCTCCATGCTGGCGGCCTCCGGCCATGGCGAGGGGAAAAAAAAGAGTGGCAGAAGCATACAGACTCGGAGGTCCGCGCGGAGTGCTCGGATCGGCGCTGGGGCCCCCCGGCGGCGCCTCCGGCGCCGCCCCCGGCGCGCTCCGCGCGCCAGGGAGGGGGGCCCAGCGCCGATCCGAGCACTCCGCGCGGACCTCCGAGTTGTTATGCTTCTGCCACTCTTTGTTCCCCTGAGGGTCAGGCGCTCGAGAACTGCTGCTGGGCCAGGCGGCGGCCAGCCGCCCGACGGCAGGCCTGAAGGGGCCCCAGGACACACAAATAAATACACACATATAAAGATATTCCCCATATTTTCCCATATTTTCTAGGTTTCAGTCTTCGCCTCCACTTCCCATATTTTTGCATATCTTCCTGGGAGTCGACGATCAATTGTGTCTGTGTGTTTCTTTCCCTCCGGAAGGCACCTGCGCCGCGCGCCGAGGGCCGCGCGGCGCCGCGCGCCGCGCGCCGCGGCGCCGCGGCGAGGGGCTCTGCGCCGGCCGGCTCGGCCGCCGGCCTCCAGCACCAGACGGGTCCCCCGGCTAGTGTGCCGCACCGGCGGCAGGAATTCTGACAACCGCCGCCGGCCAGGGTCAGGCGTCCGAGAACTGCTGCTGGGCGAGGGGGCCCCATATGCGAGCCCCACCCCTATACCCCCCACGACTTCGGAGGGGGAGGGGCGGGGTTCGCTTCGCTCGGGAGCTCCCGAGCGAAGTGAAGGACCCCCCCCTCCCCCTCCGAAATCGTGGGGGGTAGGGGTGGGGCTCGCATGGGGCCCCCTATGGGTGGGGCGGCCAGCCACCCGGGGGCCCGGAGGCGGTGGCCCGGAGGCGGGGCCACCGTGGGGCGATGGCCCGGAGGAGGGGCCCGCGGCGCAGGGGGCCCCCGCGAGTGCGGCGAGCCCGGGGAGGCGAGGGCCGCCTCGGGCCAGGGCGCCTCGAGCCGACAAAACTGCCTCGCCTGCGCTCCAGCGGGCCCCGGGCCCACCTCCGGGCCTCGAGCGTGTGGCTTGTGGGCGTTTTCTGATTCGGCGCTTCGACATCGAGCGAAAGGGAGGGAGGGGGGGGGTCTGGCTCCGGGCCTCTGCTTCATGCGGCTGTTTGCAACAGTGCGTCCTGTGGGGGAGACTCCACCTGCTCGAAACGGGGGCCGAAAACAACCAAGATCTACTCCATAGAGGAGGGGGAGCGGGGGGAGGCGAGGGCCCGCGCAGATCGGCAAAACAATGAACAAGAAAACGATCACCTTCGGATTCGTGTTCCCGAGCAGCGCTCTGCTGCAAGGCTCCCAGGGTGCAAGGCAGAGCCTGGGGGGAAGGCAGAAGGAGTGGGCCCTCTCAGAAGGCTCGCTCAGAAGGCCCCCGGCCTTCTCAGAAGCGCTGCGAGCCTTCTCCGAAGCCTCTCGCCGCCTTCCGAGAGAAGGCCCGCCACCTCTCACTGCCCGCCCGAGAGGGGGAGTTTGGAGTCCCGAAACGGTGCGGTGACGGACCGTGCGGTGACCTCGGAATCCCAAAAGACCTCACCGAACGGTCCTCACCGCACGGTCCCTCACCGAACGGTCCGACCCCGGAGGCCTCTGTCGCCCGAGACGTCCTCGGAGAGGGACTCGAGTCCCCAAAACTGCGCGGTGACCCCGAATCCCAACCGACTCACCGCACGGTGTGGTCACCACCCCGTTTGGGGGGCCGGCGAGGGAGGCGAGGGGCGCGCGATGGGGAGCCGGGGCAGCCTGCCGAGCCCGAGCCCAAGGACCGAGTCGGGCGTGTCCCCCTACAGGGGGATTTTCGACGAAAAATAAAAAATACCCCAAAAATGCCCGGGACCGATTTAAGGGTAGTCGGCTCTCGGGCCGGGCGGGAGCAGGGAGCAATCTGGCCGCCGTCTTCGAGGCCGTCCCTCCCCGTGTGGGAGAGCAGCGAGACTGTGCTTCCCCTCGAGGATGACTTTCCCCCGTATTTCGGGGATGGACAGACCCACCTTTAGTAAAACGTGGTTTAGTGAAAACGACCTCAGGCCCAAACCTGGCGGGCGCAAGCCTGGAAAATAACGGCCACGGCGCCCTCTCGAGAACCGAAAACGGACAAATTCACTAATCGACGTGTCACTGTCGGGGGTTGTGTCCACCCCCGAGTATTGTGCTTCCTCTCGATGCTGCTTTTCCCCTCGGGAGCTTCGTCCTCTGAGAGCAGCGTCGTCCTCGAGGCCGTCCCTCCCGTGGGAGAGCAGCGAGGCTGTGTTTCCCCCCGATAGTCCCACCAGCCCTTTGGGCGTGAGTGGTTTAGAGAGCCCGCTCTGTTCTCAACCCCCCTTCTTCCCCTTCGGGGAGGGGTTTACCCCTCCCCCTACCCCCTCCCCCTGGGCCTGGAGAGGGCGCCCCGCGGGTCGTCAGGGGGGTAAATTTCGACTCCTGGGAGGGCTAAAAAACGACACCCCTCACGAGGATTCTGGCCCCGACGGGGGGGGGGGAGAAAAAACCCTTTCCTCTTCTTTGAAGCCAAAATCATTGATTTTACTACGGTTTCGGCCCCACTTTGGCCTTCTGAGGGGACCGCGCCCATCTTCCTTCATAGCAAAATCATTGTTTTTACGAAGGTTTTGGCCTCATTTTGTCCTTCTCAGAAGCCAGCGCTCATTTGCGTTTCTGAGGAGGTCGCAAGAGGCCCCAAGATGGCCCCAAGAGGCCCCCAGGAGGCTCCCAAGAGGCCTCCAAGAGGCCCCCAAGAGGCCCCCAAGAGGCCCCAAGAGGCCCCCAAGAGGCCCCCAAGAGGCCCCCAAGAGGCCCCAAGAGGCCCCAAGAGGCCCCCAAGAGGCCCCCAAGAGGCCCCCAAGAGGCCCCCAAGAGGCCCCAAGAGGCTCCAAGAGGCCCCCAAGAGGCCCCACGAGGAGCCCGAACGACTCACACCAGGACGAGGGGCCCGAACGACTCACACCACGAAGAGCCCGAACGACTCACACCACAAGGAGGGGCCCGAACGACTCACACCAGGACGAGGCGCCCGAACGACTCACACCACGAGGAGCCCGAACGACTCACACCACGACGCGGGCCCCGAACGACTCACACCACGAGGAGCCCGAACGAGTCACACCAGGAGGAGGGGCCCGAACGACTCACACCAGGATGAGGGGCCCGAACAACTCACACCACGAGAAGCCCGAACGACTCACACCAGGACGAAGAGCCCGAACGACTCACACCACGAAGAGCCCGAACGACTCACACCAGGAAGAAGGGCCCGAACGACTCACACCAGGACGAGAAACCCCAAACGACTCAAATCACGAGGAGCGCTTTCTCTCCCTCCTCCTCCGCCTCGTCCTTCTCCCGCTCCCCCCACAAGGAGGATGTACAAGGAGGCGGGAGGAAGGAGGAACAGGGGAGATATGCGGGGCCAAGCGGACGCACGCCTGAAAAACACGACTGTCGGCATGCTTCGCAAGAGTTGCTGCTGTGAGATGGGCTGGTGGGGATACGCGAAGCGTAAAGAATTTTCCCCCGTATCGTGTTTCCTCTCGATGCTGCTTGTCCCCTCGGGAGCTTCGTCCTCTGAGAGCAGCGTTCCGCCGAAGAGCCCCCATCGCAGACGGCGGACCCTTGCCCCCACGGGGTCGCGCTCTCGGGAGAGGGGGCGCCTGCGCCCGCCGCAGGAGGTGCCGGCGCGGTGCCAGTGCAGAGCGGTCCCTCGCGGCCCGCTCGAGGATGGTCCCCCCCTCGTCCGAGGGGAGACGTCATTCGGCGGCGAGCTCGGGCGGGAGGCGAGAAGGGGAAGGCCCTCTCAGAAGGCTCGGGCGTAGGCCCCCGCCGTCCGAGCAGTTTCCTGAGCCTCCCCCGAAGACACGGAGAACCTCTCGGAAGGCCGGAGGGCCTCTGAGAAGCCCCGCCGCCTCCTGACGAGGCCTCCTCCTCCTCCTCCTCCTCCTCCTCCTCCTCCTCCTCCTCCTCCTCCTCCTCCTCCTCCTCCTCCTCCTCCTCCTCCTCCTCCTCCTCCTCCCTCCTCCTCCTCCTCCTCCTCCTCCTCTCCTCCTCCTCCTCCTCCTCCTCCCTCCTCCTCCTCCTCCCTCCTCCTCCTCCTCCTCCTCCTCCTCCTCCTCCTCCTCCTCCCCCTCCTCCTCCTCCTCCTCCTCCTCCTCCTCCTCCCTCCTCCTCCTCCTCCTCCTCCTCCTCCTCCTCCTCCCTCCTCCTCCTCCTCCTCCTCCTCCTCCTCCTCCTCCTCCTCCTCCTCCTCGTGCCAATGACCCCCCAGACTTCTTGGTTCTCGATGTGGTCGGGGACGCACGGGGCAGCCTTTAAGGATCCCTGCTGGGGTCCGACGAGCACCCCGACCACGAGGGCCAGGGAGTGGGGGTCGGGGCGACAAAGGCTTCATTCGGCCAGCGAATGCACGAAAGGAGCCTGCCATGGCTCGAGGCTGGGCCCGGGGAGCCAGATTTTTCTTCCGATGATCGGGATCAGAGTTTGGGTCATGGAGGCAAAGACCTACGGACTCACGAAGTTCGCATGTAACACAGCCGGTCGTTTCGACAGGAGCGACCAGGTCACACGTAGTTGAGCAGCTCACTGCAGCAACCACCACGCAGGTGGCCAGTCTGTGTACCATGCTCACTGCTTGCCGCTGCTTAGCCTACGGGTCGGGGACTACGGACCACTGCACAGCAAGTTCGCGGTAGCCCCTGGCCCGCTGATTCGCCCGGATCAGCTTCCCATTCAGTATGCTGCCACCTCACGCACATTGCCTAAAGGGTCGGGGACTAAGGACCACTGCGTAGCAAGTTCACAGTAGCCCCCGACCCGCTGATTCGACTGGATCAGCCTGCCAGCTGCCGCGCGCGCAGCCATCGTCATGCACATCGCTATATCCGCCTGCCGCTGTTGCAGCTCTCGAGTCAGTGCGCGAGTATGTGAAGCACGATCGGGCATAGCAGAGCCTAAAACCACGGGTAGGCCGGTACACCGAAAATGGGGATGTCAATCTTATGTTGTTCCCGTTTGCCCGCCATGCACGACAACACAAATGTCACGGAGTCGGTGCGCGGGCGATTTCCCGCCTCTGCTTAGGAGAACACTCTCCTGAGCTCCCTGCGCGTGTCGTTCTTCTGACCCGGCACTGGAGTGCGAGCGTGAGGTGAGGAATAAATCCCGTCTCAAATGCAACCGCTTGCTGTTGAGGTCGCGGTTGCTTGTAGGTCAGAGCCCATCGAAAGCCGACGGGCTGGCATCCCCCAAAAGCGGGGGAACTGGCTGTCGCGGACCGCTGGCGGTCCCTAGTCGAAGCACGGGGTGTAAAGATAATTGCGCTTCCTGCCCGTTTTCGGGCTCCGGGGCAAGGCCTTGCTAGGCCGTGTCTAACGCCATTCAGCCATGCACGACAACACAAATGTCACGGAGTCGGTGCGCGGGCGATTTCCCGCCACTGCTTAGGAGAACACTCTCCTGAGCTCCCTGAGCGTGTCGTTCTTCTGACCCGGCACTGGAGTGCGAGCGTGAGGTGAGGAATAAATCCCGTCCCAAATGCAACCGCTTGCTGTTGAGGTTGCGGTTGCTTGTAGGTCAGAGCCCTTCGAAAGCCGACGGGCTGGCATTCCCCAAAAACGGGGGAACTGGCTGTCGCGGACCGCTGGCGGTCCCTAGTCGAAGCACGGGGTGTAGAGATAATTGCGCTTCCTGCCCGTTTTCGGGCTCCGGGGCAAGGCCTTGCCAGGCCGTGTCTAACGCCATTCATTGTACGTTTTATCTGTGCTTACCGTTTGCGAGAAGTTCATTAGCTTCTGGGGTTGGCCGAGCCGTTGAGCTCGGAGTTGAGATAATCGCATTTAAGTTCTGGTTGGGCGCTGTCCGTGCCGCCTGTCTGGGAGCGCGGGGTAATCGCGCTTCCTAGTCGAGATTCAATAGCTCGATTTATAGAGCCAGGAAACCCAAAGAGGTGTCCAGGGATCCCTGACCAACCGGCCAGGAAGCCTCTAGAGGCCGCCTTCGAGCCCCCATAGTAGGGGGGCCCACTAGCCAGCTTAGGCTGCAGTAGAGGTTTCGGCGTTGAGCCAACGTTGAGACCCCCCTTGAGTTGCGGGCAGACGTCACCGCAACATCTGGGATCAAGCGACGTCTCCAGCCACCAAGCTCGCCCCGCAGTAAGTGGCCAGTCTTTGACCCAGTCATCATGGCCTACAGCGGCGGCAACAGCTTCTTCAAGGGCGAGCCCCACCCCACTCGGGCACCGACGTGCGCGGGAGAAAGGGCCCGCCCTTGCCCTCAGCCGGGCTGCACGGGGCTGCTCAAGGACTCGCAGCCTCGCCCATGCAGCCGCGGGTCCATGTGCGGCAAGCGCGCGCTTGCGAGTGACGACCGTGGGCCAGAGCAGCAGCGAGCAGTGCACCCCAGGACGGAGGCAGAGAGGCCGCTGGAGGTGGCCATGGAGGCCCCGCCGCCGCCGCCGCCGCCGCCACCCCTGACGACACCGCCCAAGGCCGTGCCCGCAGCACACCATGGCGGCATGTGGCCAGTGCCGTATTACCCGCAGCATGCGCAGGGCCAGAGCGGGCACCCTGTATTGCCTATGCCCTTGCTGGGCGCGCCCGAGCACTACGGCGGACACACCTGGCCAGAGCCACCGCCCGCCTACCAGCAAGGCCAGGGCAACCACGAACCCAAAGGTGCGGGCAAGGGAAAAGGCAAGGGCAAGTTGAAGGGCAAAGGAAAAGGGAAGGACAAGGGCCAAGATGGTTTTAACGGTCCTTTGAAGTTGCCCCAGAAGCACAACTTGTCACCAATTGACCTGGCCAAGGCGGAAGTAGACTTCTGGAAGAGCAAAGTCCAGCCAGACCACCCCAAGCTGCTCCAGGCGACACAAGAGCTAGAGGACCTCCGGAAGAAATCGTTCCTCGCGCTCCCATTGGCGTCGCAGGCAGACCGCCTGAAACAGTCCATCAAGGACGAGACGGATGTCATTCAGCGCAAGAAGGGCGACCTCAGGCAGCTAGAGGACCTCATTGATAAGACCTGCGACGACTACGCGCGCCTGGGGGACGAGATCCACGTAAAGATCAGCAACCTCCAGGGCAAAAAGGCGCAGCTTCAACTCATCGAGGCATCGGTGAAGCCCGAGAGCGGTCCGCCAGACCCGACTGGGTCGCAGCTGCTCGCACACTGCAAAGCGCACCCCGAAGATATCGAACTCCCCGAGAATGAGCTCATGGATAAGGTGCGGAAGACCCTCCTCGCACCGCTTGGACACACACCAGAGGTAGAGTTGGAGCCTGCGGCAAACCTGGGGGCAGCGCCCTTCCGGGAGAAAGTCTTGGCGATCAACCAGACCTCGGAGCAGCTCGACAGTCAGTTGGCGACAGTGGGGCTAGCGGAGCAAGAGGATGAACACGTCTCTGGGCAAACACGCCCCGAGACCAAGAAGGAAGCGGCGCCGGCAGGCGCAGGCGACAGTAGCCAAACGGCCGCCGCACCAAGGGCGGACGCGCCGGCGGGCGCTGGCGCCAGCGGCGCAGCGGAGGCGGCTGCGGCGGCAGGGCCACCCCGGTCGCCGGGGTAACAGCCGGCTGAGCGGCACAGTTCCTGGTGCAAGCCGGCCAGACGTGGTGGCCTCACTTTTAATCCTGGGCAAGGTGCGGCCCAGTTTGATGGCCACCTTCAACGGGAATTCTTGGCCCACCATGCGAGACCGGCTGGATGACGGCTCCTTGGCCTCATTCGCAGTTTTGTTTCTCCAAGAGACTCTCTTGGACGATCCGCATGACATACACTTGGCTGTAGAGCACTGCCGCAGCAGGGGCTGGCTTCCAGTTTTTAGTCCGGCCACCCGCTCAGCAGAAAACAGGGCAGTGGGGGGGGTGCAATCCTGGTGCGCTCGGGCAAAGATGTGGGGATTTCCCCGTTCCCGAAAGGCATCGCGACCTGTGCAGAACCCTGGCGACTGGCAGCCGTCAGATACGAGACGCCTGGCTTCGAGCCTATCTTACTTGTCTCTATCTATCTGCGCCCAGTGGAGAAGCTCAGCGAGGCTAATCGAAGCTTGCTTGCCCACCTGGGCATTCTCCAGCATGAGACAGGTCTGCCAATCATAGCGGGGGGAGATCTGAACATGGACCCTTCGTTTATTTTAAAAACCGACTTTGGTGAGAGAGGGCGCTTCAATTTGATCGCCCCCGCAAAAGACACTCATTATACCAAAAAGACTGCTTCCAAGATTGATTATTTCCTTATATCAGTCGCGTTTCACCCGCTAGTGAAGGAGGTGGCCTCGCTAACCTCTTTCAAATCTTCGCCGCAGCGCCCAGTCAGCCTGTCTATCTTACTAGATAGGGAAGTTTTGGTCCAGTGCTTAGGCGCCCGACCCGGTTCCCAGCGGAGGCAATGATAGGCCCGCAGCTGGGCCCTGCCAGCTGGAACCACCTCCGGGAGGCAGCGGAACAACTTTTGTCCCAGATGCGTTCATCGTTGAACGACGATGTCAAGCAACACTTGCTTGACATCTTTTACACGGCTTTCGCCAAAGAGCTTGCTTCTGAAATCTCGCGGATAACGGGGACGCCTTTAAGAAGCGAGCGGCCGCGCGGCCTAGGCCCGACCATCGACTGGCGATCTGCAGCCGATTTCAAGACGAATGGGAAAGGGCACGAGGCTTGGGTGTCCAAAGCGGCTACCCTCAGGGCCATTGCGAACAGTTTGCAAGATTTCACCCGGTGCGTAGCCACTGGGGCCCCGATAGAGGAGGCGGCGGCTCGAGCACAGGAGGCTCCTGCAAAGGTGCCAAGCCCATCTGAAGAGACCCGCCTCGTACTACAGGACATTGAGGCGGCATGCCGACAGATATCACCAGACGGCAAAACAGTCAGCTTGCCAGTAAGGCAGGCCACAGAGCTTGTCGAGGGGCCGGCAAAAGCAATTTCAGACCAGCTTGCGAACGAATTGGCACTGGAGACCCAAGATCGCACCAAAGCGTGGCGCGATTGGGTCACCAGGGCGAATAATAAGTCAGTTGGCTGGGCCCACAGATGGTCCAAGCATCAACCCATGTGGACGCCTGCCCAAGTAAAATGGCACGAAGAGTGGTCAGGGCGGCCATCTTGTTTTTTGCATGCAGAAGCTGCCAGGTTGGCCGAGCTATGGCGCACCACGCCGAATTCGAGACCTCCTTTTAAGCCACCGCGGGAGGAAAATCTGCCCCCGTTTAGGCCGGAGGCCATACGTGAAGCGTCAATGCCATTCTCTAGGGACACGGCGCAAACGTACGACGGCTTCCACCCTAGGCAATTTTGCTTTCTCTCGTTGGAGCAACTCGAAGTGGTTGCGCTACTTTTGCACTCGGTGGAACGCCACGGCAGGTTCCCCACGGCCATCTTAGCAGTAGTTGCGACCCTTCTTCAGAAGGCTGCTGCAAAGCAACCGGGAGTA